CCCACGTATATGATAGTCTGATTAATTACTCAAAAGATTTTCGATGTTGTTTAGCCCAGTAGTTCAGTATATATAAATTTCAACGACATGATTTGAATGGTTTTGAAAGAATATTTGATTGTTTCTTCAATCAGTTAACGTAAGAGAATACAAAGATAGAATTCAATATTAATTAATATATAAAACTATAATTTAACAAAAACTAATGATCAAGAAATTTCCGACAATCTAATAAAAACTTCAATTATCGACTCGATATTTTGATTAAATAATTATTTATTAGATGAAAAATAATATCGAATTACTTTTAATTTTAATATAAAACATAACGATCAAATGGCTTCATTTAACATTTTTATTTTATCACAGAATATTAAAATAAAACAGTTAGATAGACTGTTCTGTGTTAGAGACATAAATGAACAACCCAGGTCCACCATCTTGGGGGTGTGGGTGAGTGTAGGTGTGGTATGATATGAACACCCACACCCACACCCTACTAGAATATGTTTATAAATGTGTGTTAAAAGTGAATTTATTTAAAATAAAACTGTATTATTGCAATCATAGAATTTTCTTTTTATCATGTATATTTTATCATAGTATATTCAATATGAACATATCATTGCTTACTTGTATTGCGTTTCCTAAAAGATTACTACTATTCAATATTGATAACAATAATTTGTTGATTCTAATGAAGAATTCAATCCTAAACTAGCTACTCGTAAATTAGCAAGAAATTCTATGGCTAATTTTGTGTTCCGAGATGATTAAAAAGAAAAGTTAGACATCACTTCCTTCTAACAAATAGTTTACAGCTGATGACAGAACACTAATCATGAATGTAGAGAATTTTGTAAAGACCTCAAAGTGGTTATTCAAAATCGAGCTTCGCATCGCATTTCGCAGACGAGTCTCGACTCGTGTACCATCTAGTTTTCTTCTAAATTATTACCAAAATAAATATTGGAAAAAATTATTTTTTTGATATTTCTCATTCTCAGGTTCAATATATGAGAAAAAGAAAATTTTTCTGATTGAATGTACTATTCCTCATATGGTCAAAATGAGAATAATTAATATTAAGATCTATAAAAAATAAACCTTTATACTATATTAACATTTTGATTCGGTTCTTTAGTCCATCGAGTTACATATGTTTGCTGTGAAATTTAAGTGATTATAGTGAAATATAGACTTTGTTAACCCTTGATAAGTACTTTCACTTAACGAGTATTATATATTTTATCTAAATTTGATATATGAATAGAGCATCTTGAAAATGAATTTCCTTTAGGATTGATATTCTCTAGATATTTTCGATGGTGTCCTGGACAACACAACTTCTATTAATTCATATATATATATATTACGGTGGAGTCTTGAAATGTATTGTCAAATAAGCCATCTGTCTATAATTACACTAGAAAATAGAAAAATAAAAGAATATCTGTCTTATCTCATATTTATTACAAATTTATTCATGCAAAAAATAGTATTGAAAAGTCACAATAATAATTGTTATTGCTAAGTCTCCGAAATATCAATCGATACTGTACTTATGGAAAAAAAGTATTATTTCTAAATTGTAATACAATTAAATCGTTAAGTTATTATTGAAAACCTATTGTTTACATTCATAGTGACCTTCTATAACACGTCTTCAAGTATTTCTTTTATATTGAAGTATGTGCTATGTAACTCAAATCATATAGAATCAATTGAATTGATAACCTTGATCATAATTATAACTTTATCGATTGTATAAAATATATTTCATCTCTATTTAACGATAATACAAGTATTTAAAAAAAAAAGAACTAATGCCTATCTTCTTTCTTTTATTCACATTGTATCTTTGCTGTTGATCAGCAAGATCTTATTATATGTTTTTTTTTATAAAAAAAAAGCCGAACAAAGATACAGTGGTTCAGAGAGAAAACGCATCGATCATTAATATACATATGCATAATAATAATAATAATAATGAGAACAAACACAACAGCCACAAATAGGTGCAAATACACACAGGCAAAAATGTTTTACTCGTTTACCAAACAAAAAAAAGAAAAGACTGTGCACTGGAAACATCAAAAATATATATATATATATATGTATATCAATCTCAAAAGAAAAAAAAGTGTGGGAAAATTATACATATAGATAACAATGTATATAGTTGTTTAATACTTTTATGTTCATGTCTATGCATATAACTCTATTAACGCAATGACAGTGATAGATTTTTGAAAGACGCATTCATACAAAATAAAATCTCTCTCCTATCATATGTAAATATTATCGTTGTTTTTTTTTCTTATAGTCAAAAAAAATAAGCAAAATGTGCATGAGAGAGAGAGAGATGTGTTTGTTTTTTGTTCACTGTATAAATTTAAATTTTTAGAGAAGAGAAAAAAAAGGACGTCTATCACACGGACGGAATCGATTCGTTCGCGTGTTTTCGTACGTTGATTATGTTTTTGCTATTTTTAAGACAGATTTTTGTCTGTAAAATCTAGCAGATAGACGAATTAAGAAAGAAAAGAAGCGCGTTTTTGAACGCTGAATCGATCGAGAAGGAAGAAAAAGAGAGAAAAGAATGACATGCGTATTTATATGTATACACACTCAGTAAATGTATAAAATCGAAAAAAAAATGAACAAGAATAAACAAATTTGATAAAGACAATCAAGTAGATTTTGTCGAGAATTATTCGCCGGGATGTTCAGGACATGATCGATTTCTACGAAACCAATTGTCGATACAACTAAATAAACGAAAATATATTGAGCATTAATAGACAAATGAATATTAAATTCAGGCTAATATTGATGAGGGAAAAGTAAGACAAAGCAATAAGATAAGTGTCAAACTTGATGCGATGAAAAGAATTTCGGAACAATTATAATAACTAATTGAATTTAGTTATTAGTTTATTCTCTATTCTTTATTTATGTATGATTTGATGAAAAATGTCAAGAATATTTTATATGTAAAATTTGACACTTTTCGATATAAATATTTTACTGTTTGTCCTATAAAAGTTTCCATAACCTTATTCGACTTTGCTGTCAGTATAACCTGCCCTACTCTCGATGTAATCTCCAGAGATCTTATAGATTTCCATTCTTACAACCTCGAAATTTGGTAATAATTTGTATACAAGTTCGGTAAGAATTATTCATAAAACTGTAGTATAAAAATGAAAGCAAGCTAAGCCTCTTAAATTAACAAGTGAAAAACAAAGATTTCATCTGTCAACACAACAAGTACTCTGACAAGATCACATTAAATATATTCATAATATCGATCATATATAATTAGCTGTTTTTGTAAAACTATGTAAGACATCTCATCTATCAATAGCTATAGAAATTTCTATTGTTATATACCTTTTGTGATAAATGCAAAGACATGGCAATCGAGCAATTTTTTGTCCTTTTAATAAATCATCAAGACAAATCACGCATTCACCTTTATCCTCAGTCAATGTATCTTCTGAAGAAAAAAGAAAGAAATGAATTCAAATTCAATTTGTTTTTGATTAATATAAACAAACCATTATAATCTATTCGGGGTTTCGATAAACACTGTAAAATATGTTTGTCAAATGAATCACTTGGTATAGTTTTGTTGCACACAGGACACGGTACATCACGAAGAGCAATAATAAAATGTTGTAAACGTCGATGAGCTTGTGGAGATTCATCATCTGAACTTTGATCATCCGATTCTTGTTCAAGTCCAACATAACGTAATAGATTTAAATTAAATGCTGTTGTACCTAATGGATCAATATTCGTTGATGTTGTACGATGTCGACTATTATTTGTTGAACTATTTGCAAATAATCCTTGAGAATTATTATGACTACTACTTGAACGATGACGATGATGTTGTTGCTGTTGTTGTTGATAATGATGATTTGCTCGATTTGAATGTGTACGTGTATGACCTATATTTGTCGATGGATTTGTAGCGGCTGGTCGATGAGCTGTTGCAGATGATGAAGATGCCGATGATGGCGGAGTTGTTAAACGACCACCCATATGTGTATGTGTATATCAATATAATAACAAAAAAATTAATATGAATCGATAAATATATAAGATAAGAGAATCATAACTATCGATACATCTAAATAAAAATATTAAATATTCTTAACTATTCGAAATATCTTTCTGGAATGTCATATTAAACAAAAAGTAAGTACTAGAAGAAATGACAAATAATCAACAATAAACATCATACGTCAATCCATTATTTACCAGTATCATTTGTGTCGACATCTCTATTCTATACAAGATTGGTTGAATAATCTTGATGTGTCGAAAAAAGTGTCGAATCGGACACATTTACATTTTCTGTCGTTTCTCTCTCTCTAATTTTCCATGTGAATATGTGAGTAAAATGTGATTGATTTTTGCTTAATCATGTTTATATAAATTACTCATTCTGTTATAAATGCAACACAAAACAAACGTGGAGTCAGACATCGACCCTTTAATTTCGAATAATATGGGTAAAGCAAAACGACGATCACTTTTAGCTAAAATTTTTCCTCGTTCTTCATTGCGTCGCAGTACTGGTCTATTAATCATCACATGTTTTTTGTCTAGTGCATTTTTTTCTGTATTAGTATTCGCTAATGCTGATTATGTAATTGGAGCATTCGACTATTTGACCTCATTTATACCTATAAGTAGAAGTGATTCGAAATTAATCGTAGTAACTACTAGACAGCCTATTATTCAAAAGAAACGAACACTATCAATCTATGATGAAAATAGAGTATATAATGATTTTAATTATTTAAATCCTAGTACGTTAACGTATGAAAAACGAACATATTCAAATAATGTTCAAGTATTATTTCGTTTACCAAAGAAAACGCCAATATTTGCTCTGTTATTGATTTTTCATGGTTGTAGTCGTACAGCAAATGATTGGTTTAATACAATTGAACGACAACGTATTATCGGTGCTGCTATTGATCTTGGTTATGGTTGTTTAGCATTTCAAGCAACAGATGATTTTTCACGATGTTGGTCAAATGAAGTTGATATGTCTTCGAATAATGATGTAGAAATGGTATGGGCAGGACTAAAAGGATTCTATAATGAATATCCAAAATTAGGTGAATTAATAAATAAATATTTTATGCAAATTTTATTATTTTCTTTTTAAGAATCTCTACCACGTTTTACATTTGGTTCATCGAGTGGGGGAATATTTTCAAGTATATTTGCTATCAATCCACGTTATAAAATTCAAGGACAAATAATATTTATATCAATTGTCCTTCCTGAAATAGTACAAACACGTGTTAAAAAGGAAGGTTATCCTCCAACGGCATGGATATATGTATGTAGAAATTCAATAGAAAAATATAATTTGAGAATATCCTCTGATTATCTATTAGATGCCTCGTGATATTGAATTTGCTTCTGAAGCTCGTATAAATGACTCAAAACGAGTTTTTGCCGAAGAAAATATTCCGCATATTAGTTATATTATAGAATCGCTTTGTGTAACATCTACAATATTTCATGAACGAATTCCAACAATAACAAAAGAAACATCATTATATATTTTCTATCGTTTACAACAAAATCATTGGTTAGATCCACAAAATTATCTAAAATATAATCCACGTCGTAAGAATACATGGCAAGAATTTTTATTAATACCTGTAAATAAAACATTGATAAGTACAGATATTTCTAAAAATTTAAATGAACATAAAACTATACTACCGGATTTTTTCAATACTCTCTATGGTGAACATGAAATAAGTTTTGAACGTTCATTCGAAGCATTACAGTGGCATAAAAATATCTATGATAATAAAACTAAATCTGTGTTATAAATTGACCTATTTTTATATAAATATTAACCTATTTTCATAGAATACAGGAACTTATTTTCGTATGAAATATTAACCTAGTTTCATATGAAATAGTAACCTATTTTATTTTTTCGTGATATCTGTCTATTTTTTTATCTTTACTATTTATTTTCTTTTCACCAATCAAATAATATTTGTCAAAATAAGACGATATTTAATCTCAGTACACATGTTCTTTTTGCTTCCGTTACGTGTATAGATTAGTTTTTTCTTACTTGTGTGCCAATGCCGAATAAAAAAACAAAGCAACAAACAAATGAATTTGTTGGCGCGATTGATCAAGGAACATCATCATCTCGTTTTCTCGTAGGTTTTTAAATATACTCAATTAATAATATTATATTTTTTTGTTTCTGAAGATTTTTAATGCATCAAATCTTGAATTAGTAACATATCATCAAGAAACTATAGAAATATCTACACCACAACCGGGTTGGGTTGAACAAGATCCAAATGAACTTTTGGAAAAAACCACTCTATGTATAGAAAAAGCCGTCGAACAATTTGAAGGATTGGGCTATAATAAATCAGACATTAAAGGTATAAGAAAAATAGATTAAATTTCTTTAATAGGATTTGTTTTTGTTAGTTATTGGTATAACAAATCAACGTGAAACAACAATTTTATGGGATAAAGAAACAGGAAAAGTATTACATAATGCTCTTGTATGGTTAGATGCACGTACACAAGAAACAGTTGATTTTCTTTTAAAACAATATAATAAACGCCAAGATTGTTTACAAGTTTGTTGAATTAATAGTTTAAATTTTAGTTAGACTAAAATTCATTTTAAGGAAAAATGCGGTTTACCATTATCAACCTATTTCTCTGCATTAAAGATTCGATGGTTAATGGATAATTGTGAAGAAGTTAGAACAGCTATTGAGGAAAAACGTTGCTGTTTTGGTACCGTTGATAGCTGGCTACTTTATGTAATAAAAAAGTCTTTTTTTCTCAATCTATGACGCTGACTTTTGTTTTAATTAGAATCTGCTTTCTGATGACAAGAATACAGTGCATGTGACCGATGTAACAAATGCTAGTCGTAAGATATTAACTTTTTATGATAAGAAAATCATGTTTATTTATAGGAACAATGTTAATGAATATTCGTACTCTCAAATGGGATGCTAGTCTTTGCGAGTAAAGAAAACTATGAACTATGTCGAATAAACTATTCTTATTATTATTATTAATAGCTTCTTCAGTATTCCTGAGCATATTTTGCCAGAGATTAAATCATCTTCAACAATTTTTGGTTATATTAATAAAGGTGCTCTTCAAGGTGTTCCTGTTGGAGCAGTATGTTAAATAAATTGAATCGAATTAATTTTTTGACTAAAACATTTTCAGGTACTCGGTGATCAACAAGCAGCACTTGTTGGACAACGATGTTGGACTAAAGGAACAGCAAAAAGCACGTATGTATTCGTTTTTTTAAAGTTCTAAAAAATTATTATTTTATCATTATATTTAGATACGGTATATAATAATGAATAAATGGAATTATATTCATGATTTTTTCCTTTTGAAATGAAATAGGAACTGGTTGCTTTATTCTGTATAATACAGGTAATGATTTAGCTTATTCGCTGAATGGTCTTTTAACAACAGTAGCATATAAATGGAACGATGATGATCCTGTCTATGCTCTCGAAGTACGTCTATTATGATATAGATACAAATAGAACTTTTTTTTTCAAAATTAGGGTTCTATTGCTATTGCCGGTCAATGTATTAAATGGTTACGTGATAATCTTGGATTAATACCAGATTCAAAAAGCACTGGTTTGATATATACTAAATTGAAAAACAATTAAACTCATATATATTTTTGATATAATAGAAACAATTGCAGCTTCTGTAAAAGATACCGGTGGTGTTTATTTTGTTCCTGCATTTTCCGGTTTATTTGCACCTTATTGGAGATCTGATGCTCGAGGTAAATATGAAAACAACAAATATTTTTGCAGCGTTAAAATAAATATTTAAGGTTTGATTACTGGTATGACTCAATATACAACAAAAGCACATATTGTTCGTGCTGCTCTCGAAGGTATATGTTATCAAACTCGTGAGGTAAATAATTGTCTTTTTTTGTTTCCGAATAGATTTTTATTCAAAAATTCTCTTTTAGATTGTTGATGCTATGTATGACGATAGTGGTGTACGTCTTTCAAAATTAAAAGTCGATGGAGGAATGGCCAATAATAAATTATTTCTTCACATGCTTGCAGATATTGTTGGTATGAATGTAACAACACCCGGTTTATCTGAAACAACTGCATTAGGTGCTGCACTTGCTGCTGGTAAAGCAAAAGGAATTGATTTATTTCAATTAGACGATGAAAATGAAATTGACACAAAAATGAGTTCATATACACCAAAAATACATGGAGAACGTAAAGATATTTTTGTATTTTTTTTCAATAATAATAATTATCATCTTCTTAATAGAACGTGAAGAAAATTTTGCAAGTTGGAAAAAAGCTGTTATAAAAAGTTTCGAACGTCTAACACCTCCATTTAATATTGAAAATAAAAGTGAGATTTTTTTTCTTAATTATTCTTTTTTCTAATTTATTCATATATAAAAATCTTAGGTATGCATGAAGAAAAATCTCATCTATCAACAACAACAACTGTTGCATGGCTAACTTTGACAAGTCTTCTTGGTGTTTTATTGTATATGAGTTCTCGTAATCATTAATCATATTTATACATTTTATTGTACTGATGAAAAGAAATCAGTATTATTCATTCCTTAAAGCATTCTCATTTTTTTATTATTGTATTGATGCATTTTATATGCTTTTAAATTTACTTAACTATCATATTTTTTTTTTTGGTGTATTGTGATAAGTTATTGTTTTCGTTCATTTATTCTAAAGAAATAAATAAAGAACTGGTGACTATGCCTAGAATAGAATTATTATATGTCATATTTAATTTATAAGAAATTTTTTTTCTGCGTACATAAATTAATGAATGTCTTACAAGATATATATCAATGATTGTAAATAGCTTTAATAAAATGAATATAGATAGTGTCTTATGTTTCCGTTTGATTAAATGATGTTTTATAGAAATTAATATAATTTCTATGCAGGAAATTCAATCAGTTTTGTTCAAGGTGTCAAATGTATTATTATTTGTTTCTATACAAGATCCAACTAATCGATTTCTCATGAATTTTTCTATTGAATATTAGTATTGTTGAAACATTAGCTCCTATATATATATTCCTTCCGATAAGAAACTACTTAAAGAAAGAAAGAGCTTCATTTTGTCTTTTTTTTTTCATCTCGCTGATGGTTGATCATGTCGTTCTCTCTATTTTCAATGGGTGCACATAGAAGCGATCTCTTGTATGACTATACTTTTGTTGTTACACTATTTTTGCTCTATGATTGTTATATCAGATGAAAAAAAAATAAGCAAAAGAGTGAGAGGGAGGGGAGAGAGAGAGGAGAAAGATGTTATTGTCGATAAAAGAAAAAGCGAAGAGCTTATAAGAAAAAAATATTTTATATTTTCTTTTTAGGTAGTTGAACGCGAACAAGAGATTGTAATAATCTATTTTTAATATATATAAACTAGAACAAGGTAATATAATTATGGCTAGAAAAGTATATTTAGTTTTTTGTAATAAACTAGTGATACAAAATTATCATGAATAACAAATATCGTCTGTAGTTTTATATATTTTTTTTTCTTTTCAAATCCTACGCTTTCTCTCGCTCTCTCATTATTTAAATGTTTCATCTATTTGACGATCATTATTAGTAAATTTTTTATCAGCGTAAGTTAACTGAGATGTATTCATTCATTTACATATGACAGCGGAAAATCTGCGTACACACGCAAGGATCGTTTTTCCTTAGATTCTTCTAATTAACTTCGATTGGTTTATTAAACGTAAGTTTAAGATCATTATTGAGTGATAAAGTACATCTTGTATGCCTATAAACCATATGATAATGCTTGATTAAAGAAAAACTATGTTGTCTCTATGGAAATTAGCTATTTTTATATTAAACTCATTACTTTAAGAGTATTAAAAAAACCCTTCGTACTGATTACTTAAATAAATGAAGAGAAAGCTTTGTTACGTTGTTTCTCATAATTGCAGTTCTTTATTTTCTACTCAGACGTTCATGTTAGATAATTTGAACATAATTTTAAGCTATAATAGAATGTATTATAAACGTGCTTTCAAACTAAAAAAAAAATAAGGGAAAAGAACAATAATAAGAAGATTTATTTTCTTTTGTCCACTAAAATATATAAAAGATATAGCTTTAGTTTTTTTTTGTTGTTGTTGTGTGTATTGTGAAATATATATGAGTATACAAAATCTCAATGATGGTTGGTCACGACATAGGAAGTATACGCATACGCATACACATGCTCACGCACATATAAGCAAAAACAAGTTAGATGCACGTCACGAAACTATAAAGCCGGGAGGGATCTCCGGATGCTGTTCCATCATCTTCATTATTTCTGTGTCAGTACTGTTTAATAGGCGTCGTATATTTTTCTATCTCAATATTTAGAAAAAGAATGCCTAAGGGTTTTACTTAGTTTTTAGTTAATAGATGATAATAATGAATAATGAATTCATTTTTCAGATTATTGAATTGCATCATTGAATACGGAAATGCTCGGTAGTATCCTCAAATTCACATTGTCTTTTAGTGTTTTATTCTTATTCATTACTCTTCTTTGGCAATCTTCAATCGCCGATGCTTTACCGGTAAATATTCTTCCGTTAAATAATTATCGGAAATTACCTTTATATATATTACACTAGTCTTATTTTCATTAGAAAAATAATTCTTTCATGATATTTTGAATAAAAATGTTAATATTTTATCTATTACTATATATAATAGACGACACGTTTTATTTTATTTATATAAAAGAAGACTAAAATGTCATTTACTTATTTTCTCAGATTTCTAATGACTCTTAAAAAAATTATATATAGAATATCAAAGCAAATATATTTATAACATGGCGTAGATTTTTTTTACTTGTATACCTAGAAAAATATTCTCGGAATAGTAATTTCTATATATTTTAAGGGTAAAGTTTATATTCAAGCTTTCAGTGGTACTTTATCTTTTAATATAATTAGTTTTTATATAATGAGAAAAACACTAAGTAGGAGGTTACAAATGGCATCTCTTTTCTATAGACATAAATATTCATTAATATTAGAAAAAAAATGACAATACTATTTTATTTTTTGTATAGGTTTTGGCAACTGATTACAACATGGATAAATCAAATGATGATGCAGCACATTTGATGGCTGCTGATAGTTTTACGGGTGCGCCTGCAATAAAACACTCATTTCACACAGGTGTCAATCAACCTATGTTGATTGACCGCTTTCATTCACTTTCGCCCAAGCGTTACTTTAAAAAAAAACCCCATTCTAATAATAAAAAATTCTCATCAAATCTTTTTCAATCGACAGGCACACATCACAATCAAAATGGTCGAGCTAATAAACGAATGAAGGCAGCAATTGACAATCGTCTTAAACGTTTTCGTATGCTTGATCAAGATGAATTCCAAGAAATGCTCAAATCAATGAGTCAACAAACAACTGATGAACAATCGAAAGCATCAAATGGAATGGACGCTATTGGTGGTATGCAACTTGCAAGTATGTTTAATCAATTATTCTAATATTATGATTTATTTATCTTCTTTGTTTTTCTCTCTCATTAGACTACTGGTCACCCATATAAAAGACAATGATATTAATAATATGGTACATACTCTTTCTCTCTTTCAATCTTTTATCTTGGTTTAATAAACGAGAATGTTTATTGGTTGATCTAGATATGATCAAATTGATTTTTCTTGTGCATTTTATTAACAGATAAGAAAGAGAAAGAGAGAAAGAGAGAAAATAATATTTAATTTTAAATGCAGTATTTTTTCTTTTCGGTCACTGTCATAAATAAAAAATTCCGTATATATATATATAATCGCTACCATTGCATTCCATATTCTTTTTTTTGGTCTAAATATGTTGAAATACTAATTAAAAGATTGCTGTTAGATAACCATTTCAGAAATGAAATACATCATGGTCTGTTGATGTATCCTATATATTAAATGGTTCATAAAATATAAGTTAGAATAGAGAACCCATTGTTACTATGCAAATAAATTTTCTAATCTAATGTATTTCGTGAAAAAACTAAGAACATCAGTTTTATATGAATATCAATTTGTCTAAGTATTTAATGTACTTAGCATCAAACTTTTCTCAATATACGCTTAATTGTTTAATACTTGATAATTACTTTCTATTATATATAATCCATGATATTGAAAACAAGATAAATCATGTGTAAAACCTACTTGTTTGTTAATTGCGATGATAATTTATTCTACGGAAATCTGATTTTAATCATAGCATATTCATTAGCATGATAATTTGAAAATATACTAGATTCAAGGAAATAAAAATCTTATTTACAATAAGATTTCATCTAGGTGATAAAATCATGACGCTTATGTCGTAATCATCTATTGTGTTGAATGTAATTGAAAAGTTAACAACAACTAATAATTAAGATGAATTCTTTCATCTATAAGATTATTTTCGAGATTGCTTTTTTTTTCTCATTGTACTATTTGATTTTTATCGAATAGAAGATAAATTATAGATTTCCTTTTTTTGCGGTATATTTAATAAAATAAGATCTTGAAATGCAAATGAACACGTTTATAAAAGGACAAAAAAAATCAAATCACACAGAAATGTATATATGTATACATAAAATTAAACTAACCATCCACATTCTTATATAAATTAAGAAAGAGTTCTTTGTATTTTTTTTCTACTGCAAAACGTCTTGATTTAAATGTTGGCGTTAAAAGACTATTTTCAATCGTAAAAGGTTCTTTGATAAATTCAATTGCTTTGACTTGTTCATAAGACATTAAACCACGTTTTTTACCTTCTTTTGTCATATCTTCAAGGACAATTTCTTTTAATCGTTCTTCGGAAGTTGATTGACTACTATTATTATTATTTTGTGCATTCCATCTTTTAACATAATCTTCATTCAATACCACAATAGCAACGGGAAAATTTTTATATGAATCACCATATACAAATGTTTGATATACAAATTGACTACGTGAATATGCATCTTCAATCTTCTCTGGTGCAATATATTCACCTTGACTTAACTAGAAAAAGAACACAATATTTAAAAAAATCTTTTCATTTTTAGTTATAAAACAAACCTTATACATATTTTTCTTTCGATCAATTATTTTCATTGTTTTATGCGGTGTCCATCGTCCAATATCACCTGTATGTAACCAACCTTCTTCATCAATAGCTTCACGTGTTTTAGCTTCATCTTTTAAATAACCACTGAATACAGCTTTACTTCTTATACATATTTCTCCAACACCATCTTTTGAATAATAATCTTTTTCAGGTACATCAACTAATTTAACATGATTGAATGATGTTGGAATACCTGTTTCACCTGAATCAATATCATATTTTGTTTGCCAACATCCAATAACACATTCTGTTTGGCCATAAGCTTCAACAAAAGTGCAAGAAAATGCTGCTCGAGAAAATCGACAAACTTCAGCTGATAATGGTGCACTCGATGATATGACACATCGGACTTGTCCACCAAATTGTTTACGAATTTTATCGAATATTAATTTGTCCCATATTGTATCGTGTCCAAAATCTCCACGTCTTAGCAATGCTAATTTACCACCGATAGCTAGACGAAGTAAAATTCGACCAGGTATACCTTTTTTAAGAACTTCTGATCGAACTTTATCATATAATTTATTTAATAAACGTGGTACTATTGACAGAAGTGTTGGTCGAAAATCACGAAAATCATCGGCTAATTTATCAACCTTTCCTTGCCAAAAACCAACTTCACCACCTAAATAATTTATAGCAACAACTGTTCCACAACCAAACATATGTGCCATAGGTAAGAAATTCATAGCACGTGGTACTTCATTTTTTCCTAATGATTCTAAATCCATCGCTCTTGCACAACCAAACATTGCACAAAGAAAATTTTCATGTGTAATTATACAACCTACATATAGATTTAATATTAATATAATTTCTTTTTATTAAAATAAATTACCTTTTGGTTCTCCTGTACTTCCACTTGTATACATAACCAAAGCAATATCTTTTGGTGTTGGTGGAACAAAATCAATTATATTATTTCTACCAAGTTCTCTTAATTTTTCATATGTAATAAGTTTAAGATTTTTATCTTCAGCTGATTTTAATAATTCCGGTGTTGGTTCAATAAACATTACAATTGTTTCTAATGCTAATGTTTCATCTTTCCATTCAATTAAACTACGTACACGTGCAACATCATCAGCAAATATTAATTTGACTTCAGCATGTTTGATTATAAATCGAACACCATCACGACCAAGTGAATCATAAATACCAACGGGTACCATTGAAAATGGCCAACATGAATATACAGATAATGCATAGTTAACTGACGCTGAACCATAAATACCAATAAATGTTTTATTGGATATTGGAAGTCCAAGTTGAGCAATACCACTACCGGTTTCTCGGATTATTTCATATACTTGTCTAGACAAAAGAAAATGATAATCAATATCGAACAATTTTTTAAGAATATCTTACTTAAAAGTATAAGATTTAAATGGTTCATCAGATGATTGTCTATATGAAAATTGTGGTCGATCTGCACCCATTTTGAAACCACGTAAAAAAACATCATATAATGTATTTAAACCAATTGAACTAAGATCCTCTAATTTATCGGCAAAATCTGGATGTGCATAGATATGTTCCTTAGTATCAATTTCCACAGCACCTTTGCGTTTAACTGGTCTTTTAAAAATAATTTTAAATATTTTTGTAGTGGAGTTTAATAGTAAACTAACAACTATCACTAAACCAGTTATTATAGCAGTGAATATAAACGACGCCATACGTACACTATTATATACAAAAGAAAGAAGAAGAACAAGAAAATAATCGAAATATATTTGAATATATTTAGTAAAATAGTTTTTTTTAATAATTACCTAATAATAGTCACTTGAAAGTAACTTTATTTTGTTTTTGTTATTGTTATTGTTAGGAATAAAGCAAGAGAAGTATGTTTATGTATATACTAAAGAATATCAAAGAGATAACAAATTAAAAGGTACATGAAATCTTCGTTTTTTTTTTCTTCTTCTTTTCTTGGTTCGTTCTATATCATCTCTTCTTAAACATTTTTCTTTTAGAAAGAGATAGACAACAAAACGATTATTTATATCAGCTAACACCTCACAACATGAAACATTTATCATATAAACATAGAAATAACACTTGACAATAAAAAACAAACAGCTTTACATTTCTTCGTTTTTTCTTTGTTGCTACTTGAATATTTTTCGTTTTTTTTCGTATTAGAATTAAATATAAAAATAGGTTATCATTAGAAAATAATTCCCTACCATCATCATTATGACCTATTTCTCAAAAATTACGAATAAGATTGCAAGAAATTTCTAATGCAAATAACGCGTGATATTTATGACAATTCATTATATTTTTTATGTCTAAAATTAGTTTTTTTAGAATAATCTATATCACCTGATATTTACTTCAGCAAAAAGAAAATAGGAATGAAATGTTTAGTGAAAAATAAATAACAAAATATGTTGATGTGCATGAAAATTTTGTTAAGCAGATATTGTGACGAAAGAAAAAAACAAACTATTAGTGAGACAAACAAATTTACAACATATAATCTTCATGAGAACCGATTGATAGTAGCAAATATTTACTAATCTATAATTAGGATAAAACATATTAAGTATCATATTAAGACTTATTTATAGTAAGATAATAAAAAAAACATGAATTCAATCAACAGACAACAGCAACAATGAATATTATTGTATCTTGATAGTTTATGTTCCTGATTCTATTTTTAACTTTTATCTTTTTTGCTAGTTCTTTCAAAGAAAGTTTTATTTAGATCATCAAATAGATGTTATCAGAGATAATTTTGTCAATAATATAATATTAATATTGTAAGTAATTCAATAAAATCCTTGTAAATTATAATTTCTTACTAACGATATAAACAACATTTGAATAGGAAGCTTAACTAGTCGGATTCTGTGCCGTTGATACAACTTGTAGGAGGGAGGTTTTATCGATAAGAGGCTTAATTGCTATTGTTTATTTCTTGGCCATATTACTAATTCTTACGCTTTAATATATCGATCATTTTTATATTTTTAGTCAAATTACGGATATATATATATCGAATGAATAATAAAGGATTTAGAGATATTTTCTCATTATTCTTACTAACCGACTATAGTTTTTCCGAGAAACAGTGATATAATTATAATAATAACAGTAAAAGGAAGGAAAACTTCATTAGAAATTTAAAATGTGCGTGTCAATACCGATCGCTATTATGTTGTTCTTTTTTTCAATCGGAAGTGATACAATTGAATCGAGTACACATGAAATATCGTTAGTTCAAGGTGACATTGTTAATTCATTTCAGCATATATATTTATCCTGTAATTCTCTATATTCAAGTAACTACTAAAAACTTCATGATCTAATTTCTCTTAAATCATTTAAAGTGTAATATGCATTACCAACTAAATAATTAGAAATTAGTATTATTGGCTTTTTTAAGAGCTGTTTGTTTTTAGCCAGCTCTACGAATCTCTTGAAATCGACGTCTTTGTATATACAACCACTGTAAATAAATCGTATTTTGAATTGAAGGATTATTTGTAAACATATCAGAACGTATTATATCTTTAAAAAAACCTATTTATATATTTTATTTATAAAAAATTGTTTACTTACAAAATAAATATGCATAAATAAAAGCAAATATTATGATAATACTATTGGCTAGTATTATATGATATTCATCATCGGTTAGATTCGGTAAAAAATATCGTAAAGGTATTGATAATAGATGAAATCCATTGAGTATTATTTCACCAAGTGAATAAGCATAAAAATTAATATTCGGAATATGTTTTTCTACAATAATCAATAAAAAATAAATTAAAAAACTTAGAAAAATAGTCATAAGATAGATAATAAATGCAATTAAAAAATATTGTCGAATATATTTTGATATTCGTATCATCGTGAAATTGCAAAAAAATAAGAAATAAAGATAAGACGAATAAATAATGTACGTGAAAAAAAACCGAAGAATGAAATCTTCTAACTATACACAATAAGTTGTACAAACAATGCAAATCGAAATAAGTAAAAAAGAAATAGTCAAGGTAACAATTCAGCAAAAAAAATATTTTCGTATTTATTGTAAATATGAACTAAACCGCATTACTCATAGATTACTTTATGTTTACGATTTTCGATAGAAAACTAAAATTTAAAATGTCAATATTGATTTTGTCTATATACTTGAAATGACGTAAATGAAATAACATGGTGGTTACGGTAAAAATAATTTGTATTTCGTCATTCTTTTTTTTTAAACTATATTTTCTTTTAATAATAAAGAAATGTGGTTTGTCTTATTCTACGAAAAATATGAGCTAATGCTACTCTAAAGTATTATAATTACCTAGAGGCAAAGAAAAAGAAGCATTTAAAATTATTAAAAATATTTTTGAACAAATAAATCCTTATAAAAATTAGATTGATTAACTGAAATCTATTACGATGCAACATATATATATAAAAGACTAAGATGTTAATTAGAATATTTGTCAAGGTTTCTAGTATAAAATATTATTATATCGTTTCGAATATGTTTTTGAAAATTTACGAAAAAAGTTCTTCTACGATTTAGGTTATTCATATTAGAATGAAAATATCATATTGTATTATCTCTCTATGGATGATCGCACGATAACTATAGTTTTGAATGACATGTGAAAGAAGTGTATGGTAGCGAAACCTTTCAATCTTTTTGTTACAAAGCAATACAGAAAAACTCCCACATTTAATACACATCGGAAGCCTTAAAACTATCTTACAATAACATGAAATCTTAATACTGCAAAACTGTACATTATCTACATTAATACTCCATTAAAAGATTAGATACGAAAGAAGACGGCAAGGTCGATTATCTTTAAATACTCAAATGTATATCAATTACATAGTACTAAGATATTAATGTATAATAATCTAAAAATTAATCAAAACATAAATCATTTTGTATATATATATTTTTTTTTAATTTTATCTTGTAAAACAAACTATACACATAATACAAGCAAAAGAAAAGTAAAGAATATAATCTTTAATAACTTGCCATACAGTTTACACATTGAAAGAAAAATGTTTATCGATGTTATTTAATCAATAATTAACACTGGATAAAAACAAAATAAAAAATAAAATCATCTTTTGCCTCTTTCTCATATAATTTATATAATAAAAAATATATTTCTAGTCAATTAATGTATATTAATTTGCTGAAGTGCTTTAACAGCATCAGGTGGCATATCTTGTCCCAATTCTTTATAAAGTGATTGTAATACCTGTAATTCTTTCATTAATGAATCAACACGTTCATTTAATGCACGATTTTCTTCAGCCAATTTCGACATTTTACCTTCTGTTTGTTTTTGTTTTTGTTTTGCTTTTAATCGACTATTCTTAACTGATTCATTATTTTTTATTCGTTGATGACGATATTCTTCCGAAAATTTAACCACTTTTTTATTTCCAAATCGGGCTAATTTACATTTGGAAACATCATCTTTTTTTGTATCGTTTGAATTCATATCATTCGACGTAGTAAAACAATATCAATAACACGCTTGTTACAAGTTGATTCTTATGTCAAAAACAGTCAACAATAAGTATTAAACATCTATTCGATAGTATATATACCAATAAACATTATTTTTTATAAAAATTAATTTCTATAGATGACTCGCTTTGTCAATAGTATAGTTTTAATGCATTGCACAAATACGATACTATTTGGATTAATAAAATCTTATAAAACGTCAATTATTAGAGATAGAAATATGTCGGATATAATTATTCTAGTTACGATCGAAAATTATGAGATAAAAATAAAGGATCAATATTGTATAATCAGTACGGACGTGTGTTCTAAAATTTTTGTTGTTTGAAAAGTTAACGACGACGAAGATATTTTAACTTTTAGATATGACTTCAATAATTTTTGGCCTTCATTGTAATCAAGTTTTTATGACTCAAACAGGGTTTTTTCCTTCATAAATTGCATTTGTCTCTTATCTATTATATATCATTTATTTTAATGAAAACTACTTATCTATTCCTCAATCTTATTATGCTTGTTATTGCCTCATACATAAACGATGATTCATAATTATTTGAAGTGTTTTATATTTTGCCATTAATATTTGTTTTATACAAAAAATAAATTTAAAAGAATATAATTGCATTGTATACAAATATTTATTGGTTATAATGAAAAGAAATATGCGACAAAAAAATAATCAAACAAAAAAAAACAAAAAGTAATTTAAAATTACTTCTCTCTCTCATCTCTTCTCCTTTTTTTTATGACAATACAATTTGTTTTTTCTCAGTATACTATGCACGAAGCATGATAAAGAATATGTAAATATTTGTTTATGGCATTTTCAAGATTACTTTTTTAAATCAACAAAACTATTTCTACATAGACGGCTTGCTTCACTCGCTTTTTTTGTTTTGAAAAAAGTGGGAAAAAGACGATTGAACGTCAATGATTAATTCCAGCATTAATTCAGTTCATTGTTCAATGTGTGTTATTGACTTCCACCGTTGAATCGTGTTTAAGTTCTTTGTAAAGTGATCGTAATACTTGTAATTCTTTCATTAATAAATCGACACGATCATTTAATGTACGATTTTCTTCAGTTAATCTATTCATTTGTACGTCACTGGATTGTTGTTTTTCTTTAGCTTTCATTCGACTTTTTTTAACAGCTTCATTATTTTTAATTCGTCGATCATGATATTCATTGGAATATTTAATAACTTGCTTGTTACCAAAACGTGCTAATTTACGTACTGGACCACCACTTTTTTTAACGCCACGTCGGTTGATATCATCACGTTCACTGTCTTCTGATTGTGGTGAATTAATTGAAGAAATTGTTGTTTCATCATTGGTGGAATGACTTGGAAATGCTGGAGATGAATCTTGTTCGGGAAAGTGTTGAGATTGTTCCATAGGAACATTAGTAAGTTCTTGAATTGTCATGAGTGGATCGAAATCAATAAATTGATCAAATGCTGATGAATATTCAGGTAAATCTTTAAGTAATTCGTCTTCAAAATCAAGATCTGGAAATGATGTTGTAAGGGATGTATTGTCAAGGATTTGTTGAATAAATGTATTATCGCCGATGGGTAAATCAAATGATGTTTCAAGATTTGTATAAGTCGACGATGCCGAAGGAACAGCTTCGGTGTTAAAGACACTTATAAGTGACCCGTCGGAGCTGTGTACCTGAAGGGAAGATGAGAGTTTTAAATGATTCTGTATACTAAGTATGGCTGCATTCTCTTCTGCAATGGCAGCAAGTGTTTTATTATCTATTTGCTGCTTAGATTTATCATACATTTCTAACTCGTTTATAGGCTCATATTTAATACATGGTTCATAAATATTATCCTTACCAAATCTGAAGACGCAGCTGATCTCGGCGGGTACTTGAACAAATCCATCGCTTCCTGGTTGAATAGACTTTCTGGTATACTTAGTGTTTGACATGTTTGTGTTGATTCTTCGAAGAAGGAGAAGGGTGAAAATGCCGTTGTAATTTCTTTTTGTTTCTTGTTTGTATTAGACACGTTTAATGTCGCTTCAAAAATTTGATTTTGTGTGCAAATATGGACCTTCACTGTATTATTTGTCGGAGAAACAATTGAGTACAACTCTTTGTCTGCTTTGTGTATAGCTTGTGTGAGCGAGTGAATGTGTTGATAAAAAGTAATAGTAATGTCGAAATTTGGTAGCTTTTTATATAGAAGTCGCTCTCTTTCTCTCTTTCTCTCTCTTTTTTGTAAATTTCGCAATTACATACACAGATATTGCACCACTAAATGTCAATCCTGAGTCATGAATCTCTCCTCTGTATTTTTCCCCTGTTTCTCTCTGTCATTATTTGCTCTTAAGCTACTTTATCGACGAGAAAGGAAGAAGAAAATTGTAGATAAAAACAAGAAGAATAAGACAAGCGTCATCATTGACGACATGAGTCATGAAAAAAACAACACGAAAGAAACAATTCTTACCAATAAAGAACGTTCTTAGTATATTGTTTGATGGATGTCGTTAATAGTTACTTTTAAATATTGATGACGTGTAATATTGATTTAGTCTAGCCTACGAGAATTTGCAATTAATACTAATACATAGATATGAACAAGTCAGGAAATGAAAATACTTTGATAGTATTCAATAGAAAATGGTGTAGAAATGAGTTTTCTACTTTATATATATATATTTATACAACGTAGATGGTATTTCATAAGAAAAATTACGAATCTTTGACGTTCTTACATAATTACATCATTCATACAGAACGAAAAAAAAGAACGAAGTATTTTCTCATTATTTGTTCCATCATGATTGATATTTACGAAGAGCATACTTTAATAAAATGAATAATAAATTCAAAAAGGGTATTTCATAAAGTAAACTTTGAGAAGAAGATATCGCTGTTTATGCTTGCTATAATACATAATATTAATATTAAAGAAATAAGGAAAACTATTTTTTGTTGCTATTGAAAATTACATACTATGATATCATCGTTTAGAAAAACATTATTCTCTTGAACTATGAATTATTTGAATTGTAAATTAATATATTCAAGGTTTAATTATAAATCTTTTACTTTTCTTGTATGTCAATACAACGATATAAAGGTTCTAACGCTTCTGGTAATGTAATCCTTTTTACTTTCTATATACTCATTTGACAAATTATATAGACTGATATTGATATTTTCAAATCTAGATTCTTATATATCTCATGATGAATTTTAAAATTTGTTAACAATTGAATGTTTTCATTGATAATTGTAATGATTATATGTATTATTAAAATTTTTGATTCAATGAATATAATAAATTTTGTGTCATAAAGATTTAAATTAGCATTTTTCTTTTCAAATATGAAAAAAACAGGAGATTTTTAGATGAATCGCATTTCAGTCAATATTGATCTTTAAGACAACAGTCTTTAGATGCTCCATGTCGACTAATCAACTAAATCCCTTGTTCGTTCTTGATATCATAAAATAATCCGTATTAATCAAAGAGTTCTTTACAATCACAATACATTTTAACTGCAATAGAGAAGTATTGGATGGTGTTCTTAGGTAAAAGAAATCGAAAGAATAATTAGTCTTGAAATATTTTCCATCGTAATAATTTTATTCGTTCATATTTTTAAAGGATTTTTATTTTAAAAATAAAATGGCAGTAAAGAGAATAATAACTAGTGATAGTGCTCTTATAGAAATGAGTTTAAATGGTTTTCTTGTCGATTAGATAATGTATTTTATATGCAATCTAAATGTTTTTTTTCTCAACAGCCGTCAAACGACAAATGGTTCTCATATTTTGAAAAAAATATTTTACTCTAAATATTATAAAGAGCAGAAAAATATCCGCAAATAAAAAATTTAACAATCGACTGTTTTTGATTATTTTTCTCATGATGAAAAATAAAACCCGATGTGTACTACAACTATCTGGATAAAAAAGATAAGAGCGAAAACATAACCGATAAGTCGGTTAATTATACTTAAGTTTCTATTTAGAATGGTTTTAGCTGATTTTTTTAGATCCCATGAAGCTTTTGACTTATAGAAAAATGTTTCTATAGTATGATGAGTAAGTCTCTATAAAGTATATAAAAAGAGAATTGAGTTAGTATTTATTCTAAAGTATTTTATTGACTTATATAGAATCATTTCCAATAATTTTTATTAACTTTTACTATCAAAGAGGCACTTGAGAAACTAAGAATGCATATATATTTTCCGATTTTCTCGAGTTCTATTTGATCATGAAAAAAACATTTGAAAATAAGCTCCTTAAAGCTTTAATTACCGGTACTCTAGATCTTATTTATGGTTTTTGCACATTCGTTTTAATTCAAGTAGAAATCGTTTCTTTGATAACAGAAAAATATATTTTACTATTCATTTCTTGACTTGGAAATCAATATAAATGAATGTTTTTTTATTTTCTCTAGAATATATTTTTTCCTATTAGAAAGTTTTTTTATGTGACACAAAAAAAATAATATGATTGGAAATGCAGTGAGTCATATTGATTTCTACTTGCGTAGGTAGAAATCTATGATAATCTTTCACTGGTAAGTATTTCATTTCCTGTATTATATATGTTTTTGAATAATATTTTTTCTCATTGGCTCTCTAGATAATAAAATATTTTATCTTAGATATAGGTTTGTAATTTAAATAAGTAAGTTTTTATTTTGAACTTATTATTTATGATAATTATTTTTCATTGTTTACGATAGTTCTAAATGAAAATTCAGTCATTATTCATATTTTTTAATACATTCCACTAGTTTCTAGGAATAGAAATCGATTTATTCCCGTTAGGTATAATGCAAAGACTGACAGTTCATTTTTTTTGTTTTTTGTTTTTCAATTCCCAATGGTTATTTCATGCTATAATCGATAGGAACAATCATCTAGAAATATACTAATACAATTCAATGTTTTAAATAGATCTATTCTAAATAAACTAGAAGTATTCTATCTATCGACTCTAGAGAAAGACGCCTCCTATTCATCGATTATATTTTTTTTATAGATTCATATCATCACATTAAGTATTTTATTTTATTCTTTTTCGCTATTGAATAACAAGAAACTTGTAAATAACTCTTGATATTTAGTTCGTTTAAGAAGATTTCTATAGAGAAATATGTTATTAATAAATCTCCATCTGTATATGATTGTAATAACAATATGATCACGATTTATATGAAAAAACAATTCTATTGATTTTTTGTCATATGAAACTATAGAACAATAAACATTACCCAAAAGAGAGATCTCAATAAATCTAACTCCCTCATAGAACGTATGTGACTGTATTTGATAGAGACACGCTATAGTACAATAACAACAACAACAACGACGATTCATCATAAACAGCTTCTGACACTAACTTTCCATATTCCGACAACATTATTTGCAGATGATACTGATCAAAAGAAGACATTAATGTTATAATAATAGATCAAGATGATCACCATCATTTATCATAATCAAATGTTCAATATTTGTGTTATAACAAATCAAACTACCATCAGATATTTGTTAGATGATTACATTGATATTTTAATTATTATGACAAGATTATCAACGACAAAAAAAAACTTCAAACTAGGATAAGTTTATGCTTCATTAAATATTATTTTTTATTATGACATTCATTGTTATACAATGCACAAATTTTGTTGCACCCGAATAATATCATATATTTGCTTTCATGCATATCTGATCGAGTATAATGCTTTTTAGCTAGGGTAATACGTTGAGAAGAAAAAAATCTCTGCACGTAGAGAAGTATTAATAAAATATTAATATTGGATCATTCGATTTCAGCTCATGTCAGAACGATAAAAATAGGTTTTTTCTCTTTGTTATTATTCGATACATTCGACGATAATTGGAAATGATCGACGAAGAGTTTATTTCTGAATGATAAATTGATGTGAATATTCTTTGTAGTGGTGATGGTGGTGGTGGTGGTCGTCGTTGTTGTTGTTGTTGATGTTATCTTCTTTTTAACTAAGTGTGTCTCATATTAATGACAACCTGCTGTTTTTCTCGCTGAAGACGGCTCAGATGTCGATTTTCTTCCCATTACAGATGTGCATGTCTATATGTTTTTTTTTTCGCTCGTTTTCTTTCACATGTCAACATACACATCACTCATTTTTTTGTTAATCAGAATAACTACAAGTAAAATATCGATATTTTATGTTTAAAGAAATATACTTTTCCCATTTGACAGGTTGCCTTTTGATTTAACCATCTGTCTACCATCTTTTTACATAGGCTATAGGTTATATAAACTATATCTATCAATAAATATATTGTTACTCTTGTTTTTTTCGATGATTTCTTTTTTTCTTCTTTTTTTTCTTAATAATGTATACATTATCAGAATCATAGTTATGATTGAGTCATTTAAGAGCACTCGAAAAACATTCTTTTAGTGTTTTCAAGTAGCCAGAACGGCGCAATGTCAATGAGCCAAAGCAATCAGCCGTACTGAATAAACGCTGTTTCTTCTACTATTACTTTCTCCTGTTACCATCAAATAGGCATTGATTCTACTCTTTCGCTTTCTTACTGACATATACTAGCGCATTTTGTCATCGATTATTCGATTATCATTTCCTTATGACTGGTGGCACACACACGCAAGTTGATTGCATCTTGTATGAATGTAACATTGATGGGTGTGTGATGGTATGACACTATGAGACACATTAGATTATATAGAGATGTCTTGACTAGTATTTTTCATTCCTATATGCGCAGTAGTTAGATCAAGATCAATCTGTTTACTGTATTATCAGGAAGCGTATAACTAAGAGTCAATATCGTAAAAAAAAAGTCAAATGCAATTATCAATGATCCGTTGAATAATTTTTCTGATTTAGGAAGTATATATTTACATGTTGATTTCGTGAAGTGTTATTGTATTTATCATTCTGTCGTCTTCTCCGGGACTTGAAAGAGCCTATAGTTTTTTTCTTCTTCTTTTACGCGAACCTGCTACGAGTTATAAGAAAGAATGTTAATCGTAGCGTTGAAATCTGGAGAAAATCTATATTCGACAGAATAGCAACAGTAATAACCAATCCTTAAATATAGATGACTGACGACAAACGACAGATAAAGGTATAAATTTCGCCTAACTGCGCTAATCGCCATTACATCTACATTATCAATGTACATATGATCGCCCACGTTATTGTCACAAATAGAAACCGATCTATTTTTATTCGTTTCTAAAAAAAAACTCAAGGTTATTATTGAGATTTTTCCTATAACAAACATATTTAATGATCCGAATATATATTGCATGTTACTCAATCAATATCCTGACACCATCTCTGTCACTTAATCACTAGTTCGTTTTATATTCCCAAAAGGGTACTCTCCCAAATTAATAATCTACAAAAAAGTCTCTGATGGCATTCACGACCTATTTAACTTCATAGTTTTTTTTTTGTTCTCGATTTTTTTTGTCCTTCACTCAATGACTTCAAGAGTTTCTAAATCCAATATCTGGAGAAAAAAAAAAGTAATCATAATTTTATTTTTTCTTCTTCTTCATATGAGATAGAGAGGGAGACGACATGTCATTATCATATTAAAATCATCGTCAGTTGTTAACAACATGTGTAGATACGTGTAATGAGTGTGAAAGAAGAAAAAAACTACTAGATTTCTTTCTCGGTTTGTTGAGTCCTATCAATATTTGACTTATTTTGGAATAAATAAGATGGAAAAAAACTTTCGGATGCGAATAGAGAATATCTTAGCTATCATCTTTTGCTTCTCTTATTATTAACGAATCACTCTTTTTCAATACAAGTGCATGCACATCGATCTTGAGGCTTGTTTCCTTTTCTATCTTCTTTTCCTAAGCTCCCTACGTGCTACTTGTGTATATTCTTCTAACACAAATAGTTATTGACACTAGTTGATTGTAAAGAGTGCAAAGAAAGAGGCAGTAAAGATGTTTTCTTGTTAGCTAATGGAGGTTTTCTATTTGAAATTGACTATTTTCTGTGGCAAACAATGAATCCGATGTATTTTTGACATAACGTGTGCAAATAAGAAGAAGAAAAAAGAGAATTTCCTGTTTTTTCATTTCTTTTTCTTCGTTTTTTCTCTATATAAAATTTTATATAGTAACTATTATCTTATTCTTTTCAGTTTCCAGTTCTTTTCTTTAAATAGAAATTGTAATAAGTTTTTTAAGGTATTATAACATAGATTCAGGTAAGTAAGGACAAAAAAAGACTCTAAGTTAGATTTACTGTCTGATGCATTCGACCATAAGGACTTACATCTTATCCATAATCTAACATGTAACAACGCAAAAATTGTTTTCTAGGTAATTCCTACTCAAGTTTCTGTAATTCCGGTTGACGAAAATAATTTTTGAAAGCGATACCATGAATTTTATTATCGTAATGTTGTATTTCCGATGAGATAAAACTGATTCGTGCATGTAATAATATACGTTGGAATTTTGACAAAAATAAAAAAATAAGGAGTGTTACGGCGACATAAAAGCAGTTAACTAAATTACACATTATCATTCGATTCGCTCGTTTTTCATGAATAGATAATTTAAAAAGAAGAAGACGATTATAGAAAACAACTTCTCTCATTATGACCGGCATCTTTCTTTCTTCTTTTTTTTTCTTCATAATAGAAGTATTGCGACATCGCTTGTTAGTCGTAGTTTAAGCAATATTCTTTGTTTCTTTCTTTTATACTATTCAAATAGAAAAAGATGAAGAAGAAAAGACAATGATGACAAGTATGACTATGCTGCCTAATTAGTTTTCAAGAACTAAACACAAGAAATTTTATATTAATATTTTTCATTGTAGAAAAACCTTTTTTCTTCTATGACGTTATATGATGACCGATGACGATTGATGGCACTTAATTGTTCTGTTGAAGTGAATCTAATTGATTCTAATACGGTTTCTATCAAATATATTGTCGGTGGATGGCTGACATTAATTTTTTGTCTATTTGGTATATAAAATTAAATTACAAAAAAACATAGATTTTTTATGCTTTTTTTATCTTCAGGCATTATTACTAACATTTTTACAGTTGTTGTTTTACTTCACCCACGTATGCGAAATAGTTCGACACATGTTTATTTAATGGCTTTATCCGCATGTAATATATTTCTCTTAACTGGTCTTATGATTAATTATTCATTGAAATCTATAGGTGAGAAAATTTTCTTTTGTTTTTTTTTTATTAAAAATTTCTTTTCTTTTCATAGCTTCTTATCCTGAATTATTAGCTTATTTACGTCGACCAGATCGCATAAATCGAGATGCACTATTAGCTAATTCTTACGAGCAATTCTATGCACGTGTCGCACCAATAACAACACCATTATTATCAATGTTATTACTTTGTAGTACATACTTAACTGTTCTAGTTAGTGGTGATCGTTATTTTTTAATATGTTGGCCATTAATGGCAGAAAAAATTCGTACACGTAAAATGGCTATACGTTTATTATTACTTGTTTTTATACTTGTTAATATTTACATATTTCCACATTGGTTTGAATATCGTACAACTGCAATATATATACATCGAACTTATTCAATAACAAATTCAACTGAACCACAACAACAATTACTAAGAAATACAACTGAAAAACTTGTTGAATTACAATATACAAGTCTTGGTTTAAATGCCGTATATAGATCAATTTATCGTTTTTATTTAAATGTACCTGTTACATTTGTTATACCATTTACATTATTAACATTATGTAATGGTAGTATGATTCATCAATTATTATTAATAAAAAAGAAAAAGAAACGTTTAGGTCATCGTATGAAAGCAGATATACGTATAACAATCATGTTAATTGTTATTGTTTTAACATTTATGTTATGTCGTTCAATAAATTTATTTGTTAATTTACTTGTACAATTATCACCATGTTTAAATAAAAATTCATTACAACGTTTTAATACATTTGCAAATTTATTAATTGCATTTAATGGTTTTATAAATTTCTTTTTATTTGCTGTATTTGGTCAACGATTTCGTGAAATGGTTTTATATATCTTTCTACGACGAGGACAATATCCTTTCTTACATCCACATGATGCTACAAGTGGACATCGACCAGGTGGATATGGAGGAACACCATCAATGGATAATTCACGAAGAAATTCAAGACGTTTTTCAACAAATGATTCAGATCTTTGGGCAGCTATTTCACGTCGACGATCATCAGCAACAATGGCTGTTCTATATAATCCAAATGATATTCGACCAAGATCAGTATCTCATTCAGCAACAAATTCATCACATTTGCACATTCCAGTATCTTTAAATGGTGATCAACATGGTGCATCCTATTCATCAATCAATGTAACTGAATCACCTTTTCCAAATTCATCTTATCAACAATTATCACAAAATAATCATGATAATACAACGACTATAACAAATACTTTAACAGTATATAATAATAATTATCCTAAAAGTCCCAGTCCAAGTTGTATCAAAAAACGAACTGATGAAATGACACCATCAACAGTGCATCATGTTAAATTTGTTTAATAAAATTCTTTTTTTTATCAAATAGAAAAATCAACGACGACGACTATAAAAGAAAAAATTGTGTCTGTAGTTATATATATATTTTTTGATAATTAATTTTTTATAGAGCACTTAACATTTAAGCGTATATAATAAGTACCAATTAATGGGAAAAAAAATAAGGAAATACTTTACAATATCATTTGTACCGTGCATTAATTATAACCTCCTTGTCTTACATGCATATCATTTTACACGATGCATTCTTAGATTAATATAACTGAAATAAGAGTAGAATGTTTTCTGAGATGATAATTAAATTATAGAACAACTATTCTTCTATTTGAATTACACTTCATAAGTATGTGTTTATAAAACTCTAATTCAATGATTATAAGACGAACAGAGATTAATATCTATAGTATAGTTTATATGATTTATGTCAACTATCAATTAGACATATGTGGGTTTTATGTTGATTTATAATTTCTCTCGTATGCTATAAGAAGATCAAATTCATTGTAATAACAATAACAAAATTGTATATATATATTTTTTTCTTTCTCATCATTAAATGAAAAAAAACAAAAATAATTGATAATTAAATATCAAACTAATGTTTTGTATTTAAACCTGTCCATCGACCAAATTTTTCATATTCATGTTCTTTATCTTGCATTTTATCTGAATATCGTTCGACGATTTTTCGATCCCTAGAAAAAATTTTAATAGAATAAAATAAATAATAAATGAAGAGTCTTACGGAATAAATTTAAATGCTTCAATCCAGGATCCGGTATGTTTTAATGTCATTAGAATATTATATACTTGATCAATTGTTAATGTTTTACCACTACCGCCACCAAATCTAAAATAATGGATAGTATCAATGAAAAATTGTTTTCGGCCTATTTAATTAATTTATACTTCACATATCGATCAATCGGAAATCTTTGATGTCGAATATTTTCACGTTTTGCTTTACCAAATGTCAATGGTTTTTTACCAGCTATGAAACATATAGAAAAAAATAGGATTAGGTAACTGAATTGAATCGTTGTAACTATAAATTAATCGACTGTGATCAGTTATGTAAGAGAAATGTATCCCTATAGAGTTTGACTTTTGTTAACCTTTTATTGTACGATTGTATAGACCTTATTCTAGATTTGATCATGTAATAGAATAATACCCACATCCTGTTCTTCTATCATCATTTTCAAGAGAACTTCCTATAACAGCAGGATAGATTAGATTAAGAATAGTTTTTATATGGTCACTTCTATAATGAATGAAACTTTTTCTTTTTTCAGAAATTATTTTCAGAAAAAAGTAAATAAATCTCGAACTATCAAACTTGAGTTTATCATAACACATCCTTCCGCAGAAACTCTAGTTTATCCTCTGTAACCCATGTCATATTATATAACTACCATTTATACAAAAACAAGCAATTATCAGATGCTTCTCGACCTTTTCTATTATCATTGTGAAATCTTGCAAAAACAAAATATATATATGCAAGGTTTCTCTGAGAATACACATTCGTTTAAATTTTAATAAGAAAACTACCTACAAACATCAATAATTCCACCAATAATGTACACAGCATCATGATCAAATGTTGTCATTTCATTATTTGAATCCGGTGATAAATAAATAAGTTTTTCCTGTGGAAATATATCTAAATAACTTGATTGAGATGACTCAAGACATAAACTATCTAATGGTGCTCGTCGATCAAATTCAGCTTTTAATCGTCCATGATTTGATAGATTACATAAATGAACAAATGATGGTGAATGATAACGATTTATTTCAGCAAATAAATATTGTATTTGATCAACTAAATTTAATAAATAATGTTCACGTGCATGTTCATTTTCAAAACCACAATCAATAACAATTCTTTCATTAAGACGTGCAGATGCAAGTAATAGTTGTTCACGTAAAGATTTTTCATGTTGTCGACCAAAATGACGAAATATGGATGAATATCCAGGATAATTTGTTGGTTGTTTACCTTGAAGAAGAAGTTCTTCACGACGTTTTGTTGATTCAATACGACGTAGATTATTTTCAGCAAGATTAGCTGCACGACGTTTACGATGTACTTCACGAAGAAAAAGATAACTAAAAAATATGAATTATTAAGAAATCAAAATTTCGATTAAATTTACCCATATAGAGTTTTTCGAGATTCAGCTAAAGGTAAATTAAGTAATTCAGTCCATCGTTCATCAGGTATAACCTCTGGTACACGTTCACCACTTTCTCTTAATGTCTGAAGTTCTGCAATAAACAATTGCAGAATATGTTTAAATTATGATCCTCTCTTACCAATTTCAATAACACGTCGTTTTTGTTCACTCGTAAGTTCAGCAAAACTTCTTCGATCACGTAAATATGCCCATAACCATTCATTATCTTCAACTATCGATTTTTTTGTAGATGTAGAATTCGTTTCATTTATAATAGGATTTTCTTGATCAATTTTCTTTTCTGATGATAGATTTGATAGAAAATGTCGAGAATTATTGTATACAAAACGATTTTGAGATTTCCAAACAATAGATGTAAAGATACGTGATATCAACATTTTTTGAAAAATTTGAAAGAGAAATTCGTTCCAGAATTTACCATAGTTTTACTTCTATACATCTTATAAGATTTCATATAAACAGAGGTCGTACTAGAACATTTTTTCATATTATAATGAATAACATAAATGTGTTAAAAAGCAGAAAGTTAATTATATTGCAATCGTCTCGTTCTTCTTCTTCTTTTTAGTAAATGCTCTTGGAAAAAAAAATACAATTCTATAACATTATCTCCCCGGGGTATTCCCAGTAGTCACTTAGCAGTTTTCAATTAAACAGGAAATGCATAGACTTGATAATAAATCGTTCTAATTATTATTATTATTATTTCTATCATTTGAAATTAAATATTTTTTCATGTTTTATTATTTATTATCAATTGATATACATCTAATTCTATTGATCATCAACAATGAATCAAAAAATAATTATGATTAATATCTTTTCTTTACCGGATGTAATATTCATGTGAACAATAATGTTCAAAAGACACTTTTTATTTTATTTTATTTTTTGTTGTCTATCCGAAAGAAAAACAAATGAATCATTATTTTCCTATCTGATCACGAGAGAAAAAAAACAGAACATGATAACATCTTGTTCATTTATTGATAGCAGATGAACATATATATAGAAAAATAGATAAATGGCATGGTTCATTTGTAATTGACGAAAAAGAACAAAAATGCTTTTGATTCTTCTTTTTTTTGTATGATGAAAAGTTCATTGTGCCCTTTAGATGAGTAAAGCAAGTTGATTGTTAAAATTATATCCACATAAATAACGTCAAAATCAAAATAATGTAATGATAATATGAAGTAATCGACGATGAAGATCAGCAAGCAGGCTGTGATATGACTATGATTTTATCTCAACATTTCACAGACTGTTTACTGATAGAAACCGTCTTTTGTATACATATATATATATTCAATCATATTGATAATAATAATTCATTAAAATTTGAATACATTATAATAAATTTTTGAAGGCAAAATATATTTTTCAATGATTTAACTTGATAAAAAAAATATATATATGATGTTTGTTCGTTTCATGTCAACAAAGCAAGACTGTGATATGATTTCGTTTTACACATAGCACGATCTCTTTGCTGACACAAATTGAGATGATTAGATAAAAATAGAGTAAGAGTAAAAGAAGGAACTGTAAATTTGCAAAAAAAAGGCAAAGTGAGTTTGTGGATATAACAAGAATGACAGAGAAAAGAAAGGTCTTTTTCTCTAATCATCTTTACTTTTCATGTGTTAATGATTGATGTCGAATGACAAACACACTCGCTTGAGTGCTTTTTTTATGCTCGTCTTCTTATCCAAAGAGAAAAAAGATAACTTAGAATACTCTCCTTTTATGATGATGATTCGTTTACTATAAAAAATTGATTGTTATTCCTGTTCTATACCTTACACATTTGCTTGTAGAAATAAAAAAGAATCTTGCATTTTTCTTGCTTCATTTTCTTTCCTCCTTCTTTCTTCTTCTTTCTCTCTAGTATTTAGTAACAGTAAAGGATCAAATAACAGACACATACGTTTACATAGATCTTTAACATATGAACAATAAAAAAGAGAACGGAGAAAAAAAACCTAGTTTGTTTTTTTATTTTAATTGATTAACTTTTTATTTATATACACCTGTAAGGAAAAAACAAAATAAACTTACCCTTTTCATAAAATCTTTTACAAATTAACCATATGGATTTGTCAATCTTATTCAGCCTCATTACTAAAACTATAACTATTACTGCTGCTCGTCAAGAGAGAAGCAAACTGAATGATGTGATGATGCGCTCGCGGCGTCGGCTACAACATTGTGCTGGGTATGTGTGTGCGTGTGTATCTCTCTCTCTCTGTTTTTCTCTCTCTCTTGCTCGATCGTCGATCCTTTGTTCTCCCTCGATACAAAAATAGATAGATAGATGCAGAACATGTATGGATGCCAGTTTTTTTTCCCGTTTCTCCTCTTTTTTTTTTTCTTTCCTTTTTCTCTTCATGTTATTATTGACCTATTCGCACTCGGCACACGTCGAAGACGAGAGAAAAGGGTGCTTACTAGCTCGGGATTAATAATGTAGACGAAATTATTTTTATACATGCTCGAGAGAGATATAGATAGACAGATGGATGAAAAAATATAATGTAGTATGCTTTTATGTTTATACATGCATATATATATATATTTCTTGTTTTCACATGTTCGTCTTCCTCGGTGCCAGTAGTGCTGCTTGTACCCGAAACAGGACGCCAATTTCGACTACATAGATAGAAAGGAAAAAAAAGAGAGAGAGAATCGAATTTTCTCCTGATACCATCGGTCGTACCAATATAAAACAAGAAGAGAAACGACATTAATGTGAGTTGTCAGAAAAGAAGAAAAAAAGAGAAAGAAAAGAAAAAGTAAGGAAAAATCAAAGCAACACTACTCAGTATTTTGACATGAGAATTAGACTAGAGGATAATGGCATTGGCAGAACGGATCTATTATAGAAAACACAAAATATATGTAGCTATATGCATGTGTTGCCGTTCTTTTACTACTAGATTTATATATTATTTTCAAAACTGATGACGACAACGAACGACGACAACAAAACTTATATCTTGGAGAGAAGAAATAAAGAAAAGAGACCGACTATAGTTTATTCTTTTACTACCATCAATATTATGACCCTTCATCATCGTCTTTCTTTTGCGTTTACCCGAAATGCTGGTTAAAGAAGGGAAAAAAAGAGAGAGAGAGAAAGAGAAAGATAATGTAATGATGCCTACGCATTCTTTCTCTGTATTTCATTGATGAACGAGGCGAACAGTCAGTATGATTGTCTATCAGCATCACACACACACTTTAGAAAATGAGTGATGATGCACAACTGCAGATGCTCATGAATCGAATTGAAAATTTTCACACGTTTTGTTTTTCTTTATACAAATGCAGATATATTTATATTTATATTATCAAAACATATACATAAATCCAATTCAAAGAAAAAACAAGCATATAATAAAAAGAAAAGGAAAGCGGAAAGAAATGAATAATAATCATTGATAGTAAGAATAATAAACAAACATTGTTCAAATAAATTCTTATTTGATAACATTCCAATACTTGTACATCATTTGATTTTCATACAAGATTATCATTAATAATATTTATATCAAAAAGAAATCATTTGAAAACAAATGTTATTTTGTATGATTTCTAATTTTGTAGAAAAACTAGAAATCGTTCTTTAACCTCACCCACCGGCCATTGGGGCACAACCTGGTCCTATTTATATTAATACAAAAAAAATTATGAGTCATAATATATTTCTTTTTGTTTTGCTTCTTACCTCCACCTGTACCACCAAATCCACCCATACGTCGTCTTGGTCGTCCATCAGGTGGTCTAAAATTAGAAATTTTCTTTTAGTGCGTGTTTAATAATTGGAAATGTTGAACAGTATATAAAATTTTTTATACATGACCTGTTGAGCATCTATTTCCGTAGACATACATTTTCTCATAAGAAGAAAAAAAGATTACACACGCAAACTTACCGATCGTATCGACCACCGCCGCCACCGCCTCCTCCACTACCACCACCGGCACGATAATTCGTTGGTTCTAGATTCTTTCCATGTTTAGTTATTGTTGGCTAGAAATACAAATAACAAAATTAAATTTATCGATGTACAATTAATTTCAACATACATCAATTAATGAGCGAACGCTAAAATATAAACGAAAAAATTAAATTATATAAATGTTAAAAAGAAAATATTATTTTCTTACAATAATACGATAAAATTAAAAAATGTAAGTATTAAATGATACAATCCACTTGGTGTCCATATCCTTCTTTCATTCTGAACTGTACCTAAAATAAATATAGTACGTGTCAAAGATTATATTCAAGTAGTTTGATCTCTTTGTAAATTTTAGTCTCTATTTACAATTTACTATTAGTCAGGACAAGAAAAAAAAGAATGTATAACGGAAATAAAACACGATCATAGTGTGACAATTGATTCTTTCTATACTCTAATCCGATGATCAATAATAAATAATGATAAACGAAGGTGACAAGAACATGTCTATACGTACCACGACTATCGACATAAACCATTGTGTCGACGAAGATGTATACAAAAATCTAAAAACAATCATCCCCATAAAATATAACACCAAAACGAAGACACTGTGTTAAATAACAAAACAAAGAAAAAACAAATAGTTAGTAAAAACTAATATAACTATAAATGTCATATAAATTAAAAGTTTCAGTTCCTATGCTGTTGTATGTTTTATAATTCGACATTACCAGTTGAGCCACTAATAAAACATAATATTTAAATAAGAAGAAAAATTAAATGTATATATTTACGTTAAAAATTGTAGAAAATCTTGTTCACCTCGACCGCCATTATATTCAGATACAAACTTTCCATTTCTATTCACAAACATGAACAAAAAACTGAAAATGAAAATAAAGACTTACTCAAAATATTTAACTAAAAATAAAAACAGAGGATAATTAAATTAAATTATTCAAAATAATACACTTACATGTTGGAAAACCTTTAACTTCATATTTAATGCCTAAATCTCTTGCAATAGTTGCATCAACAGCACCAATAACAATATCCTACAAGATAAAATTCATATTAATATTGTTAATTAGAAAATATTACCTTATGTGTCGAAGCGAGTTGTGAAGCAACAGATGCAAATGCAGGTTTAGAAGTTTTACAATGTCCACACCAAGGTGCATAGAACATAACTAATGCTTTACTAGCGGGGCCAACAATTGAATCAAATGTATTTGATTGAAGCATATGAACATGTTCATAACCTGTTGCTTCTTTCCAGAATTCTGCTGGATCAGCTGGTGCTGGTGTTGGTTTAACTTTTTTTGATTGTTCTTCTGGATTAGTCATAAATTCAACAAAAGCTTCTTCCTAAATTATTTTAATATAGATTATTACGATAATCTATAGAATATTATTTACTGTTCGTGCATCTTCATAAGATGAAACAAATTTTCCAAAACTAAAATATTTTATTGTTGGATAACCTTGTACTTCATGTTCTTTACACATTGCTTGACTTTTTGTGCAATCAACAGCACAAAAAGCTACCTAATAAAACGAATAAAATTATCAGAAAATAGTTTATAAAAGAGATAATCTACTTTTGGATTATCTTTCAATGCTTCTGCAGCTTTTGTGAACAAAGGTTTAGCATTTTTACAATGACCACACCCTATGAAACAAAAACAAGATTTTTATAGATGAAATCATTCTTAACTTACATGGTGCATAAAAAAATACTAAAGCTGCTTTCTTTTTCTTAAGAATAGTTTTGAAATTTTCATCATTTAAATGAATAACATCACTTTCTTGTTCAGACCATTCTCGTTCAGGTGGTGGTGGTTCTTTTGGACTAAAATAAAGTATAATATACATTGAATAGAATTAAATTAATGTCTTACTCTTTCAAAAATTCAACTATTTTATCAGCAGTTCTTTCATGTGCATCGAATGCATATTTTCCATCACTAAAACAAAATCAATTATTCTTTAGAAGAAAAATATAGATTTCAAAATGTAAAAAAGTAGCCCGAAATAATAGATGCATTCCTTAGCAACATGCAAAAAACTTACCGGAAAAATTTCACTAAAATAATAATTAAAAAAATACAACACAAACATGTTAGCAAATCACAACAAAAATATTATGAAACTATTCGAGTTTTTAAACATACTTGTTGGAAAACCTGTTATTTTATGTTGTTTTGATAGAATAGGTGCTTTAGTTGCATCAATAGCAACGATTTTAGCATTATGCTATAATTTTACAAAAATATTTATATGAGTAAGTTTCCTAAAATAATTCTACCTGTTGTTCATGTAAATCAATCGAAGCTTGAATTAATTCTGGTTTTATATTTTTGCAGTGTCCACACCCTATAATAGAGAAGAAAAAGTGATCTAATCCTTTGCATTTAATTCTTCAGACTTACATGGTGCATAGAACATTACTAAAATAGGTGATTGACTATTTTCCGTAATAAATCCATCGAATGTTGTATCATTCAAATGAACAATATAATTAACATTTTCACTATCAGTTGGAAAGAAATCTTGTTTATCATCTTTTTCTTCTGATGCTTCTTTTACTGGTTGTGGACTAGAAATAAAATATCGATTGGTTATTTACAGAAAAATGTGAATGGAAAATGTTACTTTTTAAGCCAATTAATAATATCATCTTTAGTATGACCACCTGAATAATGAAATTTTTGTTGGCCTTTTCTAAAAAATAACCAAAAATAGATATAGAGATTTTATTCAAATATTCATACTCGAAATAAATAGTTGTTGGAAATCCGGTTATATTGAATTGTTTACGAATTGGATAATTTTCAACTTTATCAACGTCCATACCAGCTAAGATATATTGACCACGAAGATCAGTTGCTGCTTCAGCAAAAACAGGTTTTAATCGTTTACAATATCCACACCATGGTGCATAGAACATAACTAATGATGGTAAGGGTTGTTTCAATGTTTTTTGAAAATCCTTAATAATTTACAAGAATTTTTTTAATTATTATTTTAACTAAGAAGACTATTTTACTTTAGCAGTATGTAAATGAAGAACATCACCAGCAAGAGGATCTTCATTCCATGGCATATCACCTTTAGGATCAAGCATGAAATTGATCATAGACTAAATTAATTAATAAATATAACTATTATCATAGGATATTTTCATACTTTTGCTGCAAGTGAACGATCATATACTTTATGAAAATCACCATCTCTAGAAAATAAAATATAATAAATATGTTAAACTTAATAAATCTTCTTCAGATCAAAGACAAACACATATTTATGAAAAATCATCAATTAGAAAATGATCGGACATTAGATCATCACAATTTCATCTTGCGCAAAATCAATGACACTATAGTATTTTATATAAAGTTTAGAATGTGTTTTAAGTATAAATGAAAACGAATATATACACTAAAATTATTGTAAAGTGTTAGAACTTTCCAAATATCATAAAAATATTTATCCCTTATTTACGAGAAAACTCCCCGGTATGATTTTAAGGTGTTCTTAGTGCCTTAGTAAAAAATAAAAAGTGAAACTCTTTTTAATAATTTTATACTTTAGGTTCGCTATACAAATTTTTAGTACATTTTCTCTCTATATATCATATATTTAGTTCGATTTTTGTGTTCATGTTTTCTTCTTCAGGTCTTTCTAGCCATTGTCATTGTATTCACTTCTTTAAATAGGTTTTTTTTATAGATAATCATAAACATTAATAAAAAGCTTTTTGTTTGTAGTAAAGCAAATGATTTGTTATACTCTTTCATAAAACAACTGATGTATCTTTAAAAAGAATGCTTTCGCAACATATGGTGATGATTTGCTTGTTATCAAACAAAGCATTTCCAAAAAGAAAAGAGTATTTTGGATGTACATTAATATTCAGCTGATTTTTTTCTTTTCTGTCATTCATGACGATGCAAAATAATAAAGGCTATTATGTAGAACTATTTTCGACTTATATACGCATAAAATTTTACATCGGTATAATTTCACGGACGATAGATTAGTATGAAATATTCTTATTATTAATTTCAAATGCTAAAAATATACTAACTGAAAATGTCGTAATTCAGCATTGGTGGAGTCATGTTTGAGCTTTTTACAAAGTTTTTTTCCTTTCCTAAAATAAACAATGTAAATAAATACAATGAAAAGGTCAGCTTCTTTTAAATATGCTTACTCGCAATTGACATATACCAATGTACCACGTCCTCTTATTTCCTCTTCAATTTGTTTAAATATTTGAAGAGTTGCCTTGGCACTTTGATCTTTTTAATTAAAACAAAATAATAATTATTAAACAATAAAAATTATATATACATTACCATTGGGTGCACTAAGTACAAGAACATTTTTATGTTGCTTTAAGATTTTTTTGAAATCTTTCTCTTCTATTGGACTTTCATATCCAAATGTCAAATAAATAGCCTAGAAAATCAAATTTTATCACTAAAAAAAACTATTTAAATAAGGTTATCTTACGGAAAAAACAAGAATAAGCGTACTAATTCTAAGCATGACTATTTACTAACTAAATAACTAAATGAATCAAGCCAGCACATCAATACATCCGTAGCATGATTACCAATGAAAAACTACCTTTTCAAACTACTGACCTCTTTCTAGATGATAAATTTTATTCATGATTGGTTAATTTCATTTGGGAATTTTTATTTCTATATAGGTGCTATTTAACATTCGATTTTCGTTTTTCTTCTTTTATTTATAAATTTAAGATAAAATTCATCTATTCCTAATAATGACAAAGGATACAAGTTCACAAGGCTATCTTGATTTAAAAACCGAATTACGCTCAATACTTATTAGTTCTCAACAAGGTTGTACCGAACATCAATTACTTAAGGATTATGCTGAATATAATTCACGTAAAGAAATACCCTTTCGTGATATGGGTTATAAAACTTTACTTGATTTATTATCATCGATGCCTGATGTTGCTCGAATTGATTATAACAGAACACCACTGACTATTCATGGTGTTGCTGATCAAAGTACAGCTCATATTAAAAAATTTGTTATGACTCAAAAAAGAAAGAAAACTACACGAAGTTCACGTGGTACAGTAAATAGATATAATAATTCATATAGTTCATATAATCGAACAAATGGATCATCGACATATTCAAGAAATCGACCAGTGAGTATCTTACTGTATTTATTATGAAAATATTGTTACTATTCAGATATTCCTATACTTTTGACAATTGCATTTAAGATAATGATCTTTTTCATACATAGAATTAGGACATACAGTTGAAATATTAAACATGAGCGTATTTGAAGATCACATGTCTTTAGAGACAAGAACAAAATATGACGTTTGATAACGATAAAGAAAGAGAAGTCGACTGATAAGATATAAAAATATTCAATGAACGTTGATCAGGAACGTTTTAACTTTATTGTATTCAATAGAAACTATCAATTGATAAAAATTAATAATGATTTCTATGCATAATGCACACAGATAAAACATCAGTATTGTCTTATGAGAAAACACGTAAATTTACACTAGCACATGCACTACTCAATGTACATTTAAAACTAGTTAAAATAAACTATAAAATTGTGAATAAATAATCATTATGAAACAGAGAGTGGGAAAAAATCTTCTTCTCATATCGTATATTTTTCTAATTGATCTAATTTTATAAAAATACAAATTTATTATCTTTAAATTTTAGCCACAAAATAATTATGGTGGTAGTACTCTTCCATTTCAACCATATAGTCAACTAGGACATGTTAGTAAAAATCAATGGAATACATTTAATACCCCACCACCTCAATCATACCCTACGACATCGTATTCCATGCCACCTGTAATAAATAATTCTAATCAAAATTACAATCATCAAAATTCAAATGGTAAAATTTTAGTATATTTAAAGATTTCGTTTTTATTAATTCTATTTTTATTTTTCAGAAATAAATCAATCATCAATGTCAAGAACAGTTGCTTCATTTCCACCAAAAAGTACTCAGACACCACCGCCACCAATGTCTGAATTAATGTCTATTCAAACGGCATCAATGATGGATGACAATTCATCAGTCATGGATGATGATTTAAATTATACGGAAGATGATGAATTAGCTTCTTACGATGCTCAACAAGCAAGCATACATGGAGAAAAAATAGTTGTTCTTCGAAAACGTATTCGACAAGTAAACGAATTTCTTTATTTATTATATCTTTAAAAAACAATCGAAATTTCAATTTTAGATATTATTAAAACTTCAAAAAGGTATATGGCTTTCAAATGTTCAGAAACTTTATAAGGTTTTTATTTGATTTATTAAATTATTTCTAAAATAAAATAGTTTATTTTTTAGAAATATAATGATGAAGAATTTAATCTTGAGGAATATAAATTTAAAAATTTAATGGCGTTTTTTGATTGTATATCTGATTTTGTTGATTCTACACGAGATCCAACACGTGATTCATCTGATCGAATTCTTGTACTTAAACCAAATTTTACTGAGGCTACTAGACGCGAACAACAACAACAATGTAATATTTTAATTTTATATTCTAATTTAATATTCTTTTTATTTTGTATGTATTTTAGTCGAAAAAATAGAATCAAATACTCCCGTATCCAGTGTAACGGATCATCAAAATTCCACGAGTACAGATCAAAATTCGCTTGGATTTATACCAAATGATATTCATTCATCCATAGTTGATAAATCATTATTTGTTCCATTAGATTTTCATTATAAACGAATTGACTATACATCAAATGAATTATTTAATGGATTCTTAGGTGATGTAGAGGACCCATGGTTTCTTCATGTTGGAAATGTTCAATTTATATCAAAACGTGAATATATGATGACACAATTACAGTAAGTTTATTTATTTTATTGTATTCTCTTGCTACTGGCAGAAGTCTTACTCTTTGAAATCCGGAAAATTTCTGATATCGTTCTAACAGAAGAAAATAATAATATTCTTTCATAAATGTTTATGGTTGTCTACGTCAATCATGATTATCGTCTACCGAGTGCCATTCTGCTTTACTGTGCTCTACACTTCTATTAGCAAATATACACAGACGTGTATCTTGAGAGTGTGGGTGTTGTGTCCAGGGTTCTCGATTGTTTTCAAAAGTGCGCGGGGATAAAATTTGCCAGAAAGTGCCATCATACAGCTTTCTGACGCATATAACGTAGAAATTAGTTAAGCTATACACTTTCTGCGGAATTTTGCCAAAAAAAAGTGTTTTTATTTGAGTTTATAGCAGGAAAATGCCGAAAATAGCATAAAAACCAGGTTTCTGACCAAGTTTTTAGCAAAACTTTAAAAATTTTGGAAGAAAGTTTTTCAAAATTTGGCAGAAAGACAAATAGCATTTCAAATTTTGCGGGGGCTTAGATCCTCTTCCCCCCTAGTCGGAGACTATGGTTGTGTCCGTGCTTTATTCACCCCCACACCTTCCACCTCAATTCAATACTCTTGCCAATAGGAATGTGACAGTCCCATTTCGAAAGAACTGAATCTAAGCTTTCACAGTCCTACTTGCCAAACATTTCGAGATCGATCGCGATGAACATCTCATGGCACTTTCTTTATTGGTGGCTAATAAAAAGTGAACTACAGAACTTCTCTTCTTTCTTGTACAAGTTTCTTTGTTAAATAAACTGTTGAATCTTTTCTCAAAAAAAATTCCGGATTTCGGGACAATATCAAATTATCTATATTTTATCTAGGGAACATTATGAACAATCATTAAATCAAATGATCTATGTTATCCCATTTGAACAATTAGAAATAAATTTATCCTGCGTTTATTATCATACAGATCAGATATATTATCGTTCATTCATAACACAAATAGATCCTATGGATAATTGTGATATTGCTATATTAAAAATTTATCTTGTTGATTATGGTACAACAATCTCTGATATAAGATATCATATGAATTCAACAAATTTAAAATATCTTCATTTAAATTTTTCATCCCTGCCAACACAAGTTTATGATTGTCGTTTAGCAAATATATATTATCCAAATACATCTATACAATGGGAAGATGAATCTCGACAATGGCCAGATGAATCTAGACAATTTATTATTGATTTATGTTCGAATAGAAATTTTTTTGTTGAAATTATTGGTTCTTTGGATTCATTTTATTCGATTTATTTATGGATCGATGAAAATCGACAACAATCAATTAATCAATTACTTATTCAACATAATTTAGCTATTGAATGGAATGATGCACAATATTCTGAAGTAAATTTATTGAAATATATATATTTTTCAATAAAAAAATTTCTTTTTCTTATTTTAGTTTGAATCAATACCATCGAACATGTATGTTAATAATATATTGTATAGTTTGCATTAGTTTTTATTATATTTATTTAGACAATTAAATACAAATCATACGAATAATTCTATTGATCAAAGCTTATTATTACGACCAAAACAAAATAATATTGATTATAATATAGATGGAAATAATATCAAATACTTCCAAATATCAGTTGAGCATGCATATTATTTTGTTAAACATCCATTTACTGGACGACCTTGTTTACCCTGTTTTGAAGTTGCACGATTATTGAATGTAGATGAAAATTCTCTTCCACAATTCGTATGATATATTTTTTTTAAAAACATTTTCTAATTAAAAATTGTATTTTTTTATTATTGTAGAATCTTATACGAGAAACAGAAATTGAATTTTCGAAATTATTTGAAAAAATATTTCATGATTTACGATGCATTCCAGAATCAAGTAAATGTCCACATATCAATCGGAATGATAATAATGCAACAATTATAATTTATGATCTTAGTTCAGTTCGAGATTATTTAATTCAAACTAAATTTCAAGAAGGTGATATTCTTGATGCATTTCGTCAAGAATATGAGGATTATGAAAGACCTGGATATTGGAATGAAACAAAGGTATATTAAAATAAGTGAAAAGATTATTTGAATTGAATATGTGTTTATTAGTGGTAGTAGAAACAGTGAATTTGATGAGACTAGTGAAATTTCAGATTGTAGTTTTTGATTATAGGTAGTAATTTTAAAAGGAATAGTTATAAGTTCTTAGTTAGTCTGACTCGAGTTTACTTATAATTAAAATCTCTTAGAGACCATCGTTTCATTACCAGAATAAATAATCAGATGTTGTCAGGAAATCCGGAAAAATTTTACTTGACGTTTATTAATCATAGAAGACGCAACAAGTAAAAGGTTTGGACATATTAGAGGCAATTTGATAAGCTTATTTCAGAGTGTGGGTGGGTGAGGAGAAGTGTAGGTCTAGATGTTTCGGTATGGACTACTCTTCTTCCACACCAACACACCCACCACACAATCTTTCAAGGTGATTTACTCTTTTTCCGGATTATTTTTTTCCCTATTTTGATTTTCCGGATTGTCGTTTTCTGCATTACTTGACATACTCGATAATCATTTGTTTATTCTTAAAGAATTTGCAACAGCATACAAGACTATTTGATAGATTTTTTACTGTTTTATAAATTATCAAAAACTATAGATAATTACTTTAGTAATATAAATGTTTGAGTGAAATTTATAGTCCTATCATTCATCCATCCAACTAGAGTTTTATTTAGCGGGTGGGTGCCGCTCACCTGAAATTTCGATTCGTCCACCCGAAAGACAAGATTTAGGCAAAGCACTGATAGGCGGTGCCCACCGGGAATTTCCATTTCGCCCGCCCGAAAAAAGAAATCTTAGTGATAAATCGCACGATTCGATTCCAATGACTATTTATTTCATTAGTATACATCTAATCCATACTGAGATTTAATCCTCCTCGGTGAGAGATCTAACTACAGAATTCAAATTAACCTTTAATACTACCAGATTTAATCATTCGAGATGTATATTTTCTAATTGTTCTTTCATATCTTTGGTTAGCTCGATTCCTTACAACAATTAGAACTTATAATATTTTTGCTTTTCGTCGATAAATTTAACATTCTATCCTGAAAGAAATGATTATCGAAACACATTCAGATTTCTTTTCACTATATTGGAAAACGTGCGCAGAAAAGAAAAAAAAAGAAAGTTAAGGGGTATAAATAGTTATACACTACATCGAGGGTCTAGACTTACTACTATTCCAACTATATAGAGATAAACTAAAAGCAATACTATATATCATTTTGTTTAGTTTCAATAAAATAATCTGACATTTACTTTTTTGTTTTTTTTTGATATAGAACTCTTATACAAATACTGACAATCTGGAGTCACATCAGGAAAACTTATATCAACGAAGGGATATATTAAATTTCCGAAGGTAAAAATAATATTTAATTATTTATTAAACTTAAAATTTATGTATCTATCTAGGGAACAATTGGTTTCATTATCTAAAAATTATTCTAATTTATCATCTCAAAATGAAATACAAGAGATTGAAGATAAATTAAATCATCTTCATCAAGAAATGCATTCTATGAATAGTACAGTTCCTTCTCCAATAGATCATAATATGAATTTAAAACCAATATCATCTTCAACTAAAATTAAATCCTCAAATAATAAAATGCGTGAAACACGTTATCGTATAGCACGTCCATTTGACCAACAATTTTCTTTAAATATTCGTTTTCATCATCAAAATATTGATATTCATACAATTGATCCTGATGATATTGAAGATCGTTTTCAAGATTTATATCGTATAACAAAAAATGTTATACAATTTTTTAAACTTGAATCGGATATATCTGATGAACAAGATCGGCTTTTATTACAAGAAGCAAATAATAATTTACCAAATTTAATTAGCAATAATATATCATTAGATGAACGTATTGGTATATATAATTATTGTTTAGGAATTATCGAAACATTTCAACCAACTATTCGATCTTATGTACAACGAACGGATTTACTTGATACAATATATTAAATTGATTTTCTTTACTATTTTTTTAGTTTAAATAACAAACTGTGATTATAACTATTTTGAAATACAAAAAATAAAGGAACAAAACAAAATGTAAATAAATATAAAAAATACTTTTTCTTGTCTTTCTTCTTCTTCTCTGATTATATATATATAAATATATGTGTGTTTATTTTTCGTTAACTATATAAAAAAACAATTCATAGATCTATTATGTATGTGTAGTGATTTCTTTTTGATATAGTTTTTT